AACAAAACGAAATTTACCATCAACATAATAAAATTGTTTGAGGACATAAATAATTAAAATATATTGTTGGCCAAATGAACATATAATAGAAAATCTACACATTATATACAAATTATTATAATTTTTTACTTTTAGCAGAAAACTTTTAGGGATGCCTATGAGTCATTAAATTTTATTGCCAGGCGTTTTTTTGCATGTTCAACTGACATTGGGAAAGACTGTACTAGAAAGTGCTAAAGCCAAACTTCTGAATATCAAATCTTATTTTATTCACTGTAGTAGGTGCCAAGTGAGAATGAAATAAAAAAAAACACAATATTAGAGTTGAAGCAGAAACACTCGGGGACACTTCGGTTAGCCCGATTGGTGGCTGACTGCAACTCGAGACTTGACTCGAGCACAGCTGCTGACTGACTAATTTGATCGCAGCCAGAGCCGCTTTTTATAGGTAGACATAGGCCATGCGCACGCTGCATAGCAATACATTCTATGAAGGGTTATTGAAAATAGTTGTTTAAAAAATTTTGAGATATGTAGTCATATTTTGTGTTGTGGGATGTGGGTGATTCACTATATTTTGACCCCCTTTAACTTTTTTGTTTTAAGAGCTATAAAAAAATGTGAAAAGTTGCACGATTTTTTATAGTTTTCATTTTCAAAATGATAGTAGAAGAACAAATGAAGTCCAAACAAAATGACTGCAGATGTTAACTTTGTTAATTTAAATGAAACACCCTGTATATTTTTATTTATTTATTTCGAGGGTGGGGGGAAACCTGAAACTCGTGGGAACCAGTAGCTATGTTTGAATGATAGACAAGTAAAAATATAAATTGTTTATTTCAGGTAAAATTAAGTACATAAACATAATTACTGGTTAGAAAGTTAAGTAAATTCATAAAATATTTTTCTAATCAAAAAATCTATCACAGAATAATTTTATGTCAACAAATTATTTTTAATGATACTGATACTTAAAATCTTACACCCTAAAATAAAATTTGCGGTACTAAAAAAAATTGTCATTTTAATTTGGCCATATTGTATATAGCTGGTGGAATATGTATAATAATAATTTAATCATTATTAAATGTGCGTATCTATAAAACTGTACACATACCACTAAAATTAATCAAATTTGTAAAATAAAATTAGCTGTCGCAAAAGGGACATTTAAGTAAAATTTTAACAACCATCAATGACTATATATAAATACATTTATAAAAAATATAGGTAACAACTTACTAAATGCCACTCGTTAATATCATATAACTCATAATCTCATGATTTCCTTGCTGAGTAGATGTAACTAAATGTAAACGTCTTGTAAAATTCCATTTTAACGGTTAACGGACAGTCGCCAGCCTGTCTTCTTGACATACGTATTGAGCAACGTAATTACAGTAAAATATATATAAAATATATAAAATTATATAAAAATTTTGTTTGATCAACAAATATGAGATTCTCCACAATTTCCCTCCAAACCAAGTCAGTATAATTCGAGTATTAACCTACTACATTCCCGATTCAGCAATTCCTTCGTCATCTGAAAATAAACCACATAAAAAAATAGTATATCAACTCTAGAAATATAAAACAAAAATTTAACCTTCAAATCCTTGGTTTTCGTGTATTTCCCTTGAGGAACCAGAAAGATCTTTTCCTTCTAAAACTGCTAAAAGGCACTGATGAATACATATGTACTGTTGTTCGGTTTGCACCATCCACACACGTTCTTTTCTCATGGCATAAACTATTCCAAAGATGTCGACGTAGTCGCACACTAATATTTGCTGCAATATTCTATCCAAACATATAAACGTACCAGATCTACCAACGCCAGCGCTAAAAAATACCCGTATTTTCCTAACTTTTCCTTTTTCTATAAAAAATAAACAAACCTGCAATGAACCACAATGGGTCTTTGATCGGGAGGCACCCGTTCCCTAAATGCCCTTACAAACCTAACCAACGTATGAGGAGGATTAGGCACTCCAAAATCGGGCCATGTCGTGAAATGGAAGTGACGCACGACCCGCTGCTGTTCACCCTAAAAAAATGAAATGAGTTATTAACGTAACTTGAACTTGAAAGTAAAGATTCAAAAATAGTTCATTTTGATCGGAAACCTCAATAAAGTCATAAACTCAAGGAATCTGTTCATATCGGCTTTTAATTAACACCTTTTATTAAAACCAATGTCAACTAATCAAACTTAACACAGATTCAAGTCGTTTTGAGAATTTGAGAAAGTCGATTATGTAACAAAAGCGAGGCATAATTTATGGGGCAAGTTTCAGAACGATGTGGACCCAATAGTTTTATTAATATCTTCCAGGAAATAACCACAGAAAGATTAAGGATTTTCGAACAGGTTCAAAGCTAGCCATCGCTGCCTTTCGAGGAATGCCATTGATTAGAAAACCTATGCACCAAGTTAACCTAAACCCTTCTGGCAGGCTTCTCTTCCGGATTAGAAAAAGGAAAAAAAATCAATATTTATAATTGCGTACCAATCACATTCGGAAAGGCGTAGAAATTTCAAGATATAATAATAAATTGTTACAATGTTTAAGGAAAAGAAGAACAGATTCATGAGCATGAGCTGTTTTTAGGTGGATTTTTCAAGCTACAAAAAATTAAGTAATACGATGTTGACTAATCCACCCCCGTGTTGCTATACGGGGTCACGAGAGGAGAATATAATAATATCGGTAAATGTAAATTCAATCTGTTAGGTAATTACCAACATGATATGGTAAAAGTTATTTCAAAGTGTGCCCGAGACTTAAAGAGAGAGTTGGGCTGTCAGCTCGCTGCGAAAAAACCGTATGCCCTTTAAGGTAACGTTAATTATGTGCATGCTGACCAATGAAAAAGTACATTTAGCCGGTAACCGTGGAACATGCACCGGTAAAGGTAATTGTTAATTGCAAAAAAAATCGCGTTTTACAAATATATTTACACTTATGCCGAGCATACTAAACGGAATTTTAACAACAACAATTAATCGCAAAACGGTCGGCATACGGGCAGAGTAGAACCGAAGGGTCGGGTGATGCCCTTAAGTGTAAATAAACATTGCATTTGTAAATGGTAGTTACACGTATGCCTATTCGAAATTCAAAGGTTTTTGGCATAAAGTGCACAAATTCCAAAGGGCATACGGTTCCCGAAGGTCTTATTTCACACCTGTATGACTGTATTAATTGCACAGGTATGACAATAATAGTTACATGTATGCCCTTTTAATATATCATTCATTATGATGAGATTCATTATAAAAATCATCGGCATACAGTTTGTAAGGGATCTACCTGGTGGCATACGCGAAAAAGGAGTGCAAATATTTTTGGTATGTTCCAACAATAGTGCCACGTATGCCACTGTTATAAATTAAATAAAATAAATTTAAAAGAGAGCTTGTTAAATACATAAGAGTAAATAATATGTGTTAATTGATCCTTAGTTTGACTATCCTCTTACTTTGTGTTTGTATTTATATTTAAATTTAAAATGATTTGTGTATATAAGGACATCCTATTTAATAAACAATTATTATTATTAATATTAATATCTACCTAATTATGCAAGTTTTTTAAATGGCACACAAATCGACTGGAACAAAATTAATTTTATCTGATACGATGGCTGCGCAAATTATCATATCTATTTGTGAAGTTTTAGCATAGAAATTACTCCATCATTTTTGAGTTCTAGCTGAGACGCGGTATACCTAAGACTTGGAGTTTACACTTCATGGGTTCCCTCATCCCTTAAATGCTGTTCCCTATTTGGACCGCAATGCGCGTACAGGGTTATTCACTATATTTTGACCCCCCTTTAACTTTTTTGTTTTTAGTTATAAAAAAATGTGAAATATAAAAGATGCACGATTTTTTATGAAGTTTTCGAAAATGATCCGCGGATGTTAACTTTGTTAATTTAAATGGAACACCCTATATATTTTTTCATATTTGGATAGAACGCTACCTGTCGAGCATAGTCATATAGGGTTTGTTAGTTCCATTTCCAACAATAAGCGAGATACTAATAAAAAATAAAAAAGTTTTTTATTAAGAAAATAAGAAAGATATCTTGTAATTGTAAGACCTCTTTCAGACATTTCTACCCTTTTTTCCAATTATGTAAGGATTTACAGATTTAGTTGGAATATATTTTGACATATCGGACATGATTTTGTTCCAACCGATTGATATGCCATTTGTCAAACTTAAACAACAATATAATGGCATATATGGTGCTATCGTTAAAACATAACCTAAAAATTTGCTCTCTTTAAAACAGTTTTTTTAGAATGGGTTCCACGATAACCATTGTAAAACGTGTTTTTTTTTGCAATTAACAATTATCTTTATCGGTGCATTTTCTACGGTTACCGGCTAATTGCACTTGTTCATTGGTTAGCATGCGCATAATTAACTATACCTTGAAGGTATATGTGGAGAAATCATACGGTTTTTTTGCAGCGGGCTGACGGCCTAAGTGTCAAACCGACCAGGTGTGAATTAGCAAGTGAGACGAAGGCAGGGGTTGAAGCGAGGTGTCGAATCTGGGGATATCTCCAAAAAAATCCTTCTCACGAACGTCTGTTTTTCGGTAANCAGATTTTCCAGGGTAGGAATAAAATTAATTCTTAAAATTTGCATAATAATAGAAAATATCGTACAATCTGTGTGTGCATCGTATATAGGCATGAAATTATCCACAATGATTTTTAGGGGATGGTTTCCATGCTTATATTACAATAATCGAAGCACTGTTGTTGAGATAATCCACGTCGAAATTTGTAAAAAATAATCATCCATTTTTTGGCTGAGATGAATTTTTCAAGTCACTATAAATTACACACATAGTTCCTGTACATCAATACATTCTGAGTAAATATACCGACAAAACCATAGGGACGTCGGTTGCCAGATGGCAGCACCAGGATCGTCCATTCCCGAAATATGAAAAGCGACCCTCCTGCTATGTTAAATTAAGAAAAAAAAATCTCTCTAATGCTTATAGAAACTAAAATTGTCACTTACACGACAAACCATGAATTCACTTATATTCCAGTCAGGGTATCGAGATTCATTTAAAATTTGTACAGAAATATCACCATAATAGGCGGGCATCGTGTCATAAGGCCAATAGTGATCACATTTCTCTCTTCCCTTTTCGACGCACCGTGTCAACATAATTATAGCTCTTGAATTCGACTCCCATACCATCCTCCAAAAGTCGTCTCTTGTAGAATGCAATGGGCCTTGAGTCACCAAGAATTCTCTTGGAGAATTGTAACCCTAAAATATATTTAAGAAACGTCATATATTTTTATTTAATACTCGTATATACGTACTGGTACATAATTTGCATTGATATAGTCCGAACCTTCTTCATCGTCTACTGGTTGTAACTTAAATCGAGAGTGATCGTAAGGCAATATGTTCGTAAATCTATTTTTAGGCCTATTGCAAGGAAGATCGGCGAAAGTACACGGTTGGTCCCTGCCTACATGTTTCAGTTCTTCAAACTCTTCGCTAAATCTAAAACACGAAAATGAAAACTTAAAATGTACAGAAAATATTTTTTTGCGATAGAGATGTCATAGTTTCAAAAAAATGTTTCTTTACTTTTCACAAGAGGTCACAAAAAATTTAAAACAAGAAACGTCAAACAATTAATTATTCTACAAGATTTTAATTAATTTAAAAAAAATGCGAGAAACATTTTTTTTGAAAATCTTTTAAAGTTCAATTTAAAACAATTGCATCTATGAGTATTTTACCTAAAATCAGAATCAGCGGACATAATCCTATAATGATTAGAGAAATTCTCTATTCTCACAGGTCTGCTGGTTTCAATTACCGAATCTGGTAGAGATATATTGTCATTATTACGAGCTTCTGTTGCTTTTCTTCCAGCAGATCTTCTACGTCTTATGAATATAACTGTTATAAATAGTATCGCTATTAATATTACTGGTATTATAACTCCTAATATTATTGGTGTGTTGTCTTGATCTGCAAATAATTATTTAGTGAATTAATGTCATGTAATAATATGAATTTATCATTAAAAAAGGGTAGGTATTTCAATTTGAACATTTTGTTTTTCTTTTATTTTAGATTATTCTGTTATTAATTTGAAAATAAGCATATGGTGACAAAAATAATTTTTGTACTATACAGGCTGTTATAAATTTGTTTTTCATTATAGGGATCCCGCAAACGGTAAGAGATATGAACTAATGAAATTGGGGCAAAGCTGCATAATCAGTGGACCAACATTATGCCTCTAAAAAATCTAAGACATGATTAGTTTTCGAAATATTTGAAAAAAAAAAAACGAAATTTTGGAAATCCATTTTTGGTTCATTTCAACCTTGTTTGAGGTGATATTGAAAAAAGAACACTTTCTCATGGCCACTTTATGCCCTCTATCGAATGGCATAATCAATTTTTATATTAACGTTTCGTCTTTCCAGGACCATCATCAACTTCATTTTTTTAAATGACAAATTATTCTAAAAAATGAATATAAACTAAAACTCTAAATAAATATTTTAATATAGTTTAAAAAATTACAATAAATGTTCAAAAACATTTGCGTTTTGGCAAATGTTGAAAATAAAGATAACCGTAATATGATTGGATTTTTTTACACTGTAACCGCAATTGTGAAAGAGCATGTCAGATATATTTGTATGAATATGCTACAAAAAATTAGATCGGAATTTGTTTGAATTTTGAGTACTCGAGAAACCTAGAAATACGTATGGGCACAGGATTAAAACTCTAATAATGTTTTATTGTAACATGTGATGATAATAGTTTAAATAACTACAGGGTCTAATAACACTTAGATTGTCCGATAATTCAATAAACATACAAATACGAACGAATATATTGAAGATGAATTTTTCGAGACAAAATTCCTGAATCTGGTTCGGGTTGAGGCAGTACAGTACTGGGGGTCATGAAGGCTTGCAAAATAATTTATAAAATTTCCAGGTCTGTATTTAAAAAAATTAAGCTGATGATGGTCCTGGAAATATAAAAATTGATTATGCCTTTCGATAGAGGGCAAAATGTTGCCATGAGAAAGTGTTCTTTTTTCAATATCACCTCAAACTAAATTAATTAATAAATTAAAATAAAACAAAAACGGATTTTCAAAATTCCGTTTTTT